AATGGCTATGTCACTGGACTCCCATGTAGTCGGCTGCGGTTCGCATCCCGGACCCGGTGACTTAAAACCCATGCCAGGCGCGTGTGCGTGCGTGCCCAAGATCCCGAGAGGAGAATGGAGGAGAAGGAATTGTGGCATGGCCATCCCCCCTGGGGGGTGATTTCTTGCTTTCTGTCTCTCTGTCTCTCTCTGTCTGGCAAGCGCATGTGCCCCATAGCAAAAACCTCTAAAAAAAAGAAAAAAGAAAATACTTTGTAGTCAGTTAAGCATTATGTCATTCAACTCCTACCCAATGAACAAACCTACCCTTTAGCATCACTGACAGCCTCTCTTTGATCACCTCCCGTGATGGGGAGGTCATCTCTGGATGGCCATTTTCACAGTTCTAGTAGTTAGAATACCAAAGCACCAAGGATGGAAGCTCTACTATCCCTTAAAAATAATTACATAATTCTCTAATTAATTGAACTCTTATTCTGAACAGTAAGAAGGAAAAAGGTATCTTTTATTCCCAAGTTAAGATCCTAGCTAGCCTTTATACTCTTTTCCAACAATCTTAAGAAATGGTGATAGTATTTATTGATTATCTCTGCTGTCATCACATGCTCATTTTCACTGCTATTTGGAGATCTGAGTTTCTCTCTGTCTTTAAATCACAAGGTACCACACTCGGATTAGAACTAACAGAAAGTTGATACCTCAGTTTGGCAGATATTACTGCTCTTTTCTTCCTGATATGGTAGCTGTATGGTTAATTCAAAAGAAGGAAATGGTGAAATGACTGGCAGCAAAATGGTAGCAGTTAAGTAGCTACACTATTTCGGGACCAGCAGTTAGTGTAATGGCTATGTCACTGGACTCCCATGTAGTCGGCTGCGGTTCGCATCCCGGACCCGGTGACTTAAAACCCATGCCAGGCGCGTGTGCGTGCGTGCCCAAGATCCCGAGAGGAGAATGGAGGAGAAGGAATTGTGGCATGGCCATCCCCCCTGGGGGGTGATTTCTTGCTTTCTGTCTCTCTGTCTCTCTCTGTCTGGCGAGCGCACGTGCCCTATAGCAAAAACTTCTCCAAAAAAAAAAAAAAAAGAAAGAAAGAAAGAAAGAAAGAAAGAAAGAAAGAAAGAAAGAAAGAAAGAAAACGTTAAAAAATAAAAAACTAGCTACACTATTTCTTTCACCACTTATCTGAGTGAGGACGTTCTGCGTGGATACTACTCATAATGCATTGTATTAACTTTTCTCCAGGAATAAAAGAGAATACACATCACGTTTTTCTCTTAAAAACATGAATAAAGATGGATTAGGTAGGACATACCACCAGAGAGCAGGATACTCTAGGTAGGACATAACACCAGAGAGCAGGATACTCTCTGAGAGACATAGTCAAGTAAAATCAAGCCCTTCCAGAGCTTGGGCTAGTCGTTTGCCTTTTCCCAGCCTTGGGTTATTCAGCTCTAAAACAGCATGATTGTAGTAGATGATCACAAAGGTTTCTGTGATTCCAATGACTTCCCCAAATCACTGTAAACATCAAATAGCCTTCCTCCTAACCCTTGTTGCTGTCATAATCTTCAATCATTGAGGCATGGCTGCATAACTCCCACAGTCTTCTTCTAGGACTCAGTTCATTGTTTAGAGAGGATGTTAAATCCATAAGCTTTATCCTTTTTTATTCATGGTAGAGTATGTGCCCATGCACATGAGTGTGTGTGTGTGTGTATGCGTGTGAAAGAGAGGGAGGAAGAGAGAGAAAGGAGCACCCTCCACCAGGCCTGGTCATGTGTGTGTTCTTGTCCATCCTCCAATCTGCTGGGTCTTGTGTACTCATGCAAGTGGGTGGAGTGTTTCAAGCTGACTCAGCTGGAGATTCTACCTGCTATTGCTATAATTGAATCTGACTTCTCCTGAGCAGTATATTCCACTGTATCCACAGGCTCCTTTTTTTTTTTTTTTTTTAAGAGATTCCTTAGGGTATGTGTGCTCACCAGAGAGACAGAAATTGTGAGAGGGAAGTGAGAAATCACCCCAGGGGGTAGGGGCGATGGCCATGCTGCAACCTTTTCTCCTCCAGTCCCTCAGTCCCTTCCCAGGATCTTGGGCACACATACACACACACACACACACACACACACATGCCTGGCATGAGTCCCAAGCCACTAGGTCTGGCACTTGAATTGTCATAGGCCATGTGGGGGTCCAGTGACACAACCACTACACCATCTGCTAGCCCTCCACCCCCATAGGCTCTATCTTAAAGCCAGCAAATCATCTGCTAAGTGCTGTATTTCCAGAGTCATAAGCCAGCATTCCGGAGGTGTTTCAATAGTGGCTGGCCAACCCAAGAGCCATATCTGATTCACCTCTCTTGTGCACCCGAGAGCTAAGGATAATATCAGCATTTTTAAATGGTCAGCAAAGCAAAAAGAAGACTATTCCATGACATATGAAAATTATATGAAATTCAAATTTCAGTGTCTATAAATAAAGTTGTATTGGATCACAGCCACACCTGTTCATTTATGTATAGTACCAGCTATGGATACCTGTGTGCTGCAGCAGCAGAGCTGAGGAGTTGCTACAGAGACTTGTGTAGCTCATAAACCCTAAAATATTTACTATATGTCCTTGTACAAGGTGAGCTGTCCCCTGGTGTAAAGCACAGAGGTCAGAGGACAGGGACAGAGCAGGAGCCAAACATCCTGGCCATATAGTTCAGATCTCTTTCCGTCCAGGTGAGTGCTCTGGGCAACTCTCTTCTTCAACTATATGATGAGGATATGAAGATTGAGCAAATACATAAAATACCTAGAAGAGGAGCTGGCATACATTAAGTACTACGTATGTGTTGTTATTATCAATTGCTACAACTTTTTTTCATAAACTAGAGCAGCGGCAGTTTACTAATATACTCATAACCACTGTAATAATTTCCTTTGTAACACTCCATTAAGACTCAATTCTTTAGTGTGGGGCGTTGTGAAGGTGTCTAAAGACAACTGAAATGACAATCAGCATAGCTGCTTATCCACAGAGCTAATTCTGCATTACTGACAAATATTTTGTTCCGTACTTCTTCCAACCTTGAGTCCTGAAAGAGCTTTCACTCCACTTTGAGTTCAGCTGTGACATTTTATTCCTTAGAGTTGGTTACTTCTTTCTGGAAAAAAAAAAAAAGAGGCTTCAAAATAGAGGCCAATGGACTCGTATGTCAACAGAAATGACCAACTTTGTCAAAATTAATAATTAATTTGGTCTGTCCTCACATAATATGTCGAATTTACCTTGATGATTGCTATGGTGTTTGAAAACGGTAACCTCCTTCCTGAATCAAACCCCGAACCACCAGCATATGTTTATTTGCTATGAGATAATAAGAACTATTAGAATTTTTCTCAGGATTCAGAATTTTCATTTCTGGAGTTAGGGTATCCAAAAAGAGGACTTGAGAGGAGAGTCATAGGTAAGAGGGAAACAATGGACCTCAATGAAAGCACAGCCCAGGAGCTAGGTCTACCGTGGAACCAGCAAATGCCATTCTCTGCAGGTGCCCCCTGTTGGTTAAAGGTCGACTTTCGAGTGTCCGTGTGATCTCCACACAAATATTGTGAATGTTGCTTATTAATGCATTTCTCAAAATGTTAAAATTTAGAAAATTATTGTCTGGTCCTTTAATAGACAAGGGCAATCAACATTTTTTTTTTTTGAGTGATTGCAACAACACAAAACAAAAACAAATATCTTACACCCGAATAACTGCAGACTGTTCAGCTGGGTGAGGAAGAGACTCCTGTAAAGGACATTTTCTGAATAACTTAAGTGAGATTCTGATCTCCCTCCCACTTTCCTGAATATTTACTGTAACAGCACATGTAAGGGTCCAGAGATCGGTCTAACTGATGGAGACGCAGAAAAGACAAAGACAATGCAACTGCAAAAGAGGCTTTTATTCTTTTTCCAGCTAGCTTCTGCCTGGACCCTGAGCCTAAGATAAAGGGATCTTTTATAGTTCAAGATTCTTCATAGAATGTAACACATACAAAGGAGGGGGTATGAGAAGCGAGGGTCCAGCTATCACCACCTGCTCAGGTCTAGATAAGAGCTCTCAGCTAAGGGTCAGGATGACATCGGAGGTGCTGGGCCCTCCCGTTTTCCACCTATCTGAGAGTTCCCAGACTCCTGGTTTCTGTCCTTGAAGGCTTAACAGTGTAGCAATTAAGCTAACTCAGCCCAGCATTCCCTAACATGGCGGTGATTAAGCTAACTTGGCCTAACACACACTCTCCGTTTGCTCTAAAATTTTTTATTTGTAAAAATTCGCTGAATAATTTTGAGAATGGGATTGTTTTGCCTGACTCATTCCAATAATTCAAACAATCCGTTTTCCAAGAACAATAAGGGTGAGGTTGCCCTACCCAGTAAATGCTCTCTGCCCTCCCCTGCCCTCATCTGACCAACGCCCAGCTTATCCAGGCCGTGAACTGTCCCCACGAATAGGCAAGGGAACAAGCCGTTGTCGTTCAATGAAATGTGCACCTGCAAGCCAAACGTTCCCTTGTACACAGTTCTGAAGTTTATTCCTGTTTTCCTAGGGCACTTTGCTCTTTTGATTCTTCAACGTCTCCACCCATTGCCATCTAAGAGCTGCCCTAATGCGGTCAGCCCCTTCCCCGCAATCCTGCACTCTGCATACATGGGGTCCACCCTGTCCATTGAAGTTGTTTAAAATAATATGCCACAAAATAGCCATCCAGGAAGGGGAAAAAAAATAATAATTCCGGGTGTTGTATCGGTGTTGGAATGTGCCATTCGTTTCGAAGGGAGGAAAGTCCCTGGGGTGAAGTGCATTGACGGTCATAGATCATCGCTTCGATCTGCCACTTAAGCACTGCCTTGGTACAGAAAACGCAAACATACTGAAGTGCGCAGGAGGAGAGCTGAGGCCAGGAGCTGAACCTCGAGAGCCAGGCGGCTGCAAGGCGCGTCCCCCGCCCGCCCGCTTGGTGCGCTCGGGGGTGGCCTCTGCGCCGCAAGGCTAGGCGGGGCCGGGTGTCCCAGCGCACTAGGCGGCGGCGGCGGCTGTGCAGTCTGCAGCATGTCGTACCCGGGACACCCAGGAGCGGGTGGCGGGTACTACCCAGGCGGGGTAAGTGCTGCTGCGCTGGCACACAGCCCGGCAAGACCATTGGGCCCCGCAGGCGCAGGCTGCCCGGACACTCAGCGGCGTCACCCTGGCGCCTTCGGCCCGGCTTTCCTGCGCACTTGGAGCCTTACCCCAGGCCCTTGCAGCTCGGCCTCTCGCTGCTGCCCCGGTCCTGCTCCTCCCGATGGCCCGCGGGACTGAGGCGCGGGTGGATTGGGACGCCAGAAGCCCGCCCTGTGGCTCAGATGTGGCGCGAACTTGTGCCTGTTGGGTGTTGGCTTCCTCTTCCTCCCTCTCGGTTTCCCGCAAAACAGCAACAGCCATTTTAATCTGGAATGGCCCCGCGATTTACCTTCCTCTCTTTAAAACAAAGTAAGACGGGAAGAAAAACCAAAAGCGAAAAGCGGCGAGTACAGCTCCGGAGGAGGCGCGCGTGCCGAGCTCCGGGACGCGCGTCATGGTGGGAACGGTGCGGGACACCAGGCCCTGCGGAGGCGCCTTCCTCCTCCTCGGCTGCACCTCCCTCGGCTTTCGCCAGCTCCGGCCTTACGTGCCACGGAACACGCTGTCCGCTCCTGTGGAAGCTGTCAGGACAGAAAGAAACAGCCCCTGCCCCGTGGCTGCTTGCGTGGGTCACACTCCCCTCCGTACCCTGCAGGCTAACGAGGGTTTTTAAAGTTGCTTCACATGCGCGGATAGCACTTTCCTGACTACTCGTTTTGGTCCAGGTGGCCTGTTTTTTAATTCATATGGGGTGAAAAAAGGAAGAAAGAGGTGCAGTGGGTGCAGTTAGAGTGCGTGGGTGGTGGGGTGAGCTGCGGGAAGGCCGGCGGGCATTGCGGACTTGGGAGAGCAGAAAGCGGGCGGCGGAGTGATGCGTGTGTTTGCGGTCCACAGTACGGAGGGGCGCCCGGAGGGCCGGCGTTTCCAGGACAAACCCAGGACCCGCTGTATGGTTACTTCGCCGCAGTAGCCGGACAGGTTAGCTTTCCTTTGATTATTAAGGAATGTTTGTATTCTGCATTTGTGTTAGCTTTCCATATAGCAACACGGAAAAAAGAACTTTCCACCAGAAAGGAACCTGTTGCTTTAAGAATGTGCTTTTATTTCTTATTTTGGCTTTTTAATTTTGAAGATAGGGAACAAATTCGGACAGCTGTGCAGGGCAATGCTATGTATAATAAATAGTAGTTATACTGTAGTTTTTATTTATTTTTTAAATTCAAATATTTTCAGTCCAAGGTGGCTTGAATCTGTGGATTTGAGACCTGCAGGGATGAAAAACTGTATCATGTGTGAGATTTTTTTAATAAAAAGGCAGTGTCTATTTACTTGTATTTATGTTAGTTAATTTTAAAACTGTATCGGTGATTGAATTAGAGTGAGGTTGAACAAAATAGAAGTTCTAAATATACTTGTTGACTGGAAGATCCCTAAGATAGAAAGATATCTTTAGGACTATGAATTCTCAGTCCAGGGAAGTTTTGAGAGAAGAAATTCAAAATCTGGTGAACATAAACGACTCTCAATGAACATAAACCTGAAGAAATGTATTACTAATTATGAAGCCAGGTTCTAGCCAACACTCTTTTCAGGTTGAATTTGACCCTTAATTACTCACCCCTTTAGGAAGTAGGTGTGTCTGGTAAGAACTCCCCAGCTTTTTGTAAGGAAGTTACTACAGTACAGTACTCTGCTCAGTAGGGGGAAGTCCTCTTGTGTACAGTTTAGTTTCTCTGATGCAGATGCAGTTACGTGGCCAGCTCTTCCATACCCTTATTAGATGTGACCTGTTGACCCAGAGAAAGAATTAAACTCAGAGTCCTCAGACTTCTCGCTTCTCTGCATTCCTAGGTGGATGACAGATGCAGGCTTACCTTCCCTAGCCCGTGAGGTCATCATATGGAGTGAAGACGTTGTTGGCTAACCCAGCTATGTCCAGAGGGGAAGTTTGTTCTTAGGAATTCCCTTAGCCTTATTTCCATTCTAGCTAGAGATGGTCAATTTTCTGTGTGAAAAACCTTGAGGGTAGTATGGGTTAAAAACTGAAGCCCACCTTGTAAAAGTAGCATCTTAGACATAACGACTTGAGAAATTGAATGGAAAATTGAGTCTAAAACTAGAAGACCATCCCTTCAAGTATCTGCTTAATCTGTTAATGATCTGTATCTTTGAAACCACAAGACGCGGCCAGCCTCAAGACTAGCATTCTTAGATGGCTGGTACCTCCAGCGTGTAAGTGACCCCACCTGCTTAGCTTTCAGCAGGCCTGACCTTCCGCGTCTTCGTCATAATTCACATCATTGAGATACTCCTCATGTGTGTCTTACCATACCTATCACCTTGGGGATTTAAGTATTTTATCTTAATATATGTAAAAATAACACTGATCTGGTTCTGACCTACTTCAGCCAGTGAGTGGACTCTGGGAAACTATCTTCCAGATCCAATTGTGCTCTGAAGAAACAGTTCACTAAATCAACAAGAAAAGGTGACCAAGGCCTCTTTCAGTTTGAACCAAGCCTTTTATTTACTGAGGTCTGCTGTGTACTCTGCTCTCTCCACCCTTAACCCCCACCTCACAAAAATAGAGAAGAATATGAATTCCATAAATTTATGAAAGTGCTTACTCTGGTGGTTTCCTAGGTCAGACTAAGAGAGGAATAGTTGCCAAGACGGACTTTTTTTTTTTTCTTTTTTCATTAAATTATTTTTGGAAGTCAGATGAGGGAAAAATTCCCACTTTTTGGAAGGCATTCCTTTTTAAAAAAGACTTATACATGTTGGTACAGTCTTCTATACCTGTAGGTTCCACATCCAGAGATTGAACCCACCTTAGATTAAAAATACTTGAATAGTAATAATAAAAAAATACAGTAATACTACAGTGGAAAAAAAGAAGGTAGAAAATGCAGGATAACAACTATTTGCATGGCATTTACATCCTGTTGGGTATTATATGTAACAGAGATGGTTTAAAGTATCAAGAAGGACATGTATAGGTTATATGCAAACACTCCGTTTTATACATCCTGTAAATGTAACATCCTGTTACATATGTAACAGAGATGGTTTAAAGTATCAAGAAGGACATGTATAGGTTATATGCAAACACTCCGTTTTATATAAGGGATTTGAGCATCCTTGGATTTTGGAACTCAAGGTGGGGCAGGGTGGGAAGGGTGCCTGGAACCCAAACCCCATGGATACCGAGGCTGACTGTACTCCTTTTGTTGTTATTATTGCTGCCTTGAATACTGAGGGTAAACAAAGAACTTGAAAGTACAAATCACTATGGTGATTTCTCTTTTTATTTGTATTAACAGGATGGGCAAATCGATGCCGATGAATTACAGCGATGTCTGACCCAGTCAGGCATTGCCGGAGGGTACAAACGTGAGTCTGCAGTCCCAAAGTTTCTCTAATAGTCCTCTTTGTTTCATATTTTAGCTGTTACTTGTGATTATAGCCTTTAAGGGAAGGCTTTTCTGATCCAGCGAAGTTTCGAATTTCTAAAGCGAAGTTACGTGGTTATTTCAAAATGCTAATCGAAAAGAGTTCGTAATAAATCATTTCACTCTCCCTGCCAGTTCACTGGATTTCTTGGATTTAGTAGTTCCGTGTATCTGGAACTGTTCAGACCGTTGAGGTACTTTATGTGCCGTGTGGCCTCCTTCGTGGAGGACAAGGTAAGGTGCTGAAATAAGATCTGCCAGGTCAGGTATCATTGATGATAGAAGCCAACATTTACTGCTGGCTATTTGCCAGGAGCTTACTCTTAGACCTGATGGCACTCAGGCATTGAGTGGCCAGTCTTGTACCCCTGGTCCTTGCGTGGCTGGTCTCCAAGCCCTAGGCCTGCTGCTGACAGCATGAATTTCAGGATACCCCCAAGTATTCCCCCTTTCTTCTAAGTAGGAAGTGCCCTTCCTTTTTCTGAACTCTTCAGGCTAGTTCCCCTCTTCCTGAGCTCCTCAGGGATTGGACTGACCTATAACTCATCACCTATCCCATCTTCCTGCTTTTTGAGCTGTGCACATGCTGCAGTTAGGAGTTAGGAAAATACTACAAGGTTGCTGCATTTTGATGGGGCGGGGGGCTTTTTATCCCCCCCACACACACACACACACTTTGTTTTCAAGTCCAATCTCAACCAGAACGGGTTTCCTGTGTAGAGAGTAGTGTCAGTAGTCACGCAGGTATGTTACCTGTCAGCTTCTTTGCCAGTTGTTAATTGAGACAGAACATTACAAAGAAGCTCCAGTTTTATGAAAAGCTGTGAGTTCAATTCTGAAACTAGAACTCACACCTGAGAACTCCTCATGCACCCTGTGACTCTTCGTCATGGCATATTTACGACGCATCTCTCTTTGAGCTTTTGTGTTTCGATTTTTACCGTCCTTTGTTTTATGTGACTTCAGTATCCTATTACTATTTCCTACTTGGGGGAATTCATGTAAAAGAGGAACCTTTCAAATTGCTGTCATTTAATCTGTTCCTAAACAAAAGAGGCACTTTCTAGATCAGGGGATTTTTTTATTGCTGTAGACAAAACATTTAAATTGTTCATTCTTAACCTCAGGCAGTGGAGCTGGTGGACAAGAATGGTCTAATAGCAGGGTTTGCCAAAATGAGCTGATGTCACAACATAGGCTATTACTCTACACCCTTTTAGTGGAGGATGTGTAGCAGGTCTTGAAATCTGACTAATAAAAGCAGGTTGCATATCCTTAGAGAGCAAGCCTTTTAAAATTTTCATTTGAGGAAGGCACATCTAGCGATGGCTTTAGATCAGTGTATTATAGGGAAGACATTTCCTGAGTCCTAAGGGGCTTGTGATGGAACTGAGTTGCTTTCTGTCTGTCCTCTGATGGTGTAATGAGCCACCAAACCATCTTGCTTATGAGGTGGCAGAGTTTTGTAATACAGAAATTATACAGCCACTGGGCTTTTAAATGAGTGTTTGTGTGTGTGTGTGTTTCGTGATAGAGAGGCATATAGAGACAGGAATCCCTCCCAGGGTCTTCGTGCTGTGATCTACCCCTGGTTTCACGGACCTGTATCACCGGCACACATGCATACTCACTGAACTGAGGGAGGTCTCTCATGTGGCTCAGTTGTGTTATCCCTGTATCCCCACTTCACCTCAACCATTGGTCTTTGAGACCCAACTTCCAAACCAAAAAAAAAAAAAAAAAAAACACAGGTCCAAAGTGGGTGAGCAGGTGGTACACTCCCCGTACCCACAGGCCCTTCTTAAACAGCTTAAAGGAAAGTAGTCACCCCTAGAGGTAGAGTTTATGGAGGAAATCACTCTATAGTGTCTTGAGATAACAATTTAGTTTCTCTTTTTTCTTTGAGAAAGTTCTTCCTATGTGACCAGCAGTTGGCGTAATGGCTATGTCGTTGGACTCCCATGTAGTTGACCGTGGCTCAAGTCCCAGACCCAGTAGCTTAAATTCATGCAGGGCATGTGTGTGCTCAAGATCCTGAGAGGAGAATAGAGGAGAAGGGATTGCGGTGTGGCCATCCCCACTGGGGGGGTGATTTCTCATTTTCTATCTCTCTGTCTCTCTCTGTCTTTCTGGCGAGTGCATGCACCCTATAGCAAAAACCTCTAGAAAAAAGAAAAAGTTCTTCCTGTGTGGTAAGGTTGAGAGAAACAACTAGAGGTAGGGCTTTCTTGCTAGGTTCATTATATTGTATGTTTTTCTACCAGAACAGAAGAGATTTGAGGCATTCTAGGAGAATGAATAGAAGAGAGGGCAAATATCAAAGGTAAATTATAACATAGATTCTTCTGAAATTATTTAAAAAAGAAGTAGGGGGCCAGCTCCGTAGTACAGTGCTTAAGGAATAGGTATTCCATGTGGCTGACTGCAGTTTGAATCGCAGCTCCAGAGGCTTGAAGAACATGTTGGGCACATGCATCTGTATGCCCCAAATACCGACAGGATGGAGAAATGGCGGAGAAGGGATTACACTTTGACCATGTCTTGTTGCAGAGGTGCTTTCTCCCTCTCTCCCTGGCTCGCGCTGGCAAGTGTGTATACCCTGTGGCAATTAAGATCATATATAATTAGTATTAATAAAAGCTATTTCTGAGGAAAAAGTACAGTTAACAAAATTGAGCAGAGATTTATCCCAGCCAACCTTACATCAGCGTTCTAGTTCATCAACACTGTCTGTGTTGGTACATCTGGTTTGTTCTCTTTTGTTCATTGCTAAGCCCATTCCCTCCCTTTCAGATCCTGCTTACAAAAGATGATGAGGTTTCTGAACTTACTGACACACAGCTCTCACTGGCACTGTCCTCAAAAAATCTTTGATAGTCCTTGGTGCCCATAATATAAAGGCTAAACAACTTAGTAGGACTCCAAGATTCTCTGTCACTCTGGCTCATCTAACCAGCCCCATTTCCATCCACTCTCTGGATGCTTTGTTGTAAGTCTGATTAACCTAATCACGTACTCTTTGCCTGCCTTGGACCTTTCTGTTTCACTACCTCCAAATGTCCTCCCTGTTGTTCATGGCTTGGGTTAATGCTCCCCATTCTATGAAATCTTTCCTGATTCTCTTACTAGAAAGGAACCCCTCTCAATATCTGCTCATACTTTTGGGTGCTTCTGTCATAACTCTACCTTAGTTAGCATTGTGTGTGCAATACAGCTTATCTTTCTTAGACTGTTAGCTAGGGCAGACTGATTTCCTGTCAGTATCTCCCAAGTTCCTGGTACCCTGAGTCCTGTACATAGGGAATACATTAATGAGTGGCTGCTGAGTATGGGAAATTTTCTAAAATGGAAAAACCTTAGCTTTATCACTTACTGATATTTTAAGATTCTACATTACTTTTAAGTATCACTCAAGATAGCAAAATTTTATTCAGAAAACACATTCCTCCTTAGACTGTCTGAAGAAGGGCTTACAGAGTCATGGGATATTCAGCTTCCTGCACAGGTATGAGAATTCGGTCTCATCTATACATTCGTTTGTCCAAGCAACACAGTATTGATAGATGCGTGCCCTGTGCTAGGTGCTGGGTGTGCTCACAAACAGTGCCTGCAGGACAATGTGAAAAGCTCTGGGATGAGGAAGCACAGAGGCCGTGTGATCTTATAGGGTGAGCACTTTACCTGGATTGGAGCCAGGAAGGTTTTCTTTGCAGAATTGATACATAAACTGAAGAACAGAGGTAAAACTTGAACAGAAATGAGACTGACCCAGAAATGAGTAGGATGGGGGAGTTGTGTTCCGGGTAGGCAGAGCAGCATTTGCAGAAGACCCAGAGAATGCATAGTTGAGTCAGGGAACTGGGAAATGCTCATGAAGATCGCTGATGGAGTTGGGTGAAGAGTAAGAAAACAGCTGAGCTGAAGATGACCTTCACTTGGTGACTGTGTTTAGACTTCACCTGAGAGCAGCATAATTAACACCTCTACTGGGTTTTGTTTAGGAGAACACATACTGCTAACCCTGGCAGAAGGGTTAAGACCACAGCAAGGGACATGGGAGTAAAAACGAGTCAGAGATACCTATTAGGTGACTGTTGGAGTCACACAGGAGAGAGAAATACCAGACCAGGGATGTTACAGTGAGGCTGGTTTCTAAAGCTGTTTAGAAGGTGACTGGTTATTGTGGGAGAGGGAATTAGGGACGCTGTTTCTGGCGTGGTTGGCAGCTGAGTGGTTGTTGGTGCCTTTCATAAAATTGGGAGATAGAATCTGTCTGCCTCATGGCCCCTTGAAACCTTGATGTAAGACAGACAGTTGGCTCCATTCTGTGTTTATCAAGCTGTCTGGAGCAGTCTTTTTTTTTTTTTAAGATTTTTTTTTTTTTTTTTACTA